TTACCAATCATCAAATTAAGCAGCATTTTATAAATATTTACAGAACATATTCAAGACACCACTTATAAAAGAATATAAAAGAAAGCCATTCTATAAGCCAGGTTGGTCAACACTGCGAAAGCTCACAGGATCTGCAGCATGCCCATTTTGCCATGTTGGGTTGGACAGAGACTGGAAAAAGATGATCCCTTGGTAACTCAGTGTACAATCACCAAACCGGTTGTCATACCGGCAGCATCCTACCCCTGGATATGAACATTGGGTGATGTGTATTTGTGTAATGAAAGTGGGTGTGGCCTAAGGAGATCAACATCCTATAGCAAGGTGTGCATAATTATTAGGCAGCTTCTTTTCCTCAGGCAAAATGGGCCAAAAAAGAGATTTAACTGGCTCTGGAAAGTGAAAAATTGTAAAAAGTCTTTCAGAGGGATCCAGCACTCCTGAAATTGCTAAGATACCTGGGCGTGATCACAGAACCATGAAACGTTTTGTTGCAAATAGTCAACAGGGTCGCAAGAAACGTGTTGAGAAAAAAAGACGCATATTAACTACCAAAGATTTAAGAAGAATCAAATGTGAGGCTACCAGGAACCCATTATCCTCCAGTGCTGTCATATTCCAGAACTGCAACTTACCTGGAGTGCCCAGAAGTACAAGGTGGTCAGTGCTCAGAGACATGACCAAGGAAAGGAAGGCTGAAACCCAACCACCAGTGAACAAGACATGTAAGTTGAAATGGCAAGACTGGGCCAAAGAAATAGCTGAAGACAGACTTTTCAAAGGTTTTATGGACTGATGAGATGAGAGTGATTCTTAATAGAGCAGATGGATGGGCCCGTTGCTGGATCAGTAGCGGGCACAGAGCTCCACTTTAACTCAGACACCAGTAAGGTGGAGGGGTACTGGTATGGGCTGGTATTATTAAAGGACCTTTTGGGGTTGAAGATGGACTCAAAATTAACTCCCAACCTTACTGTCAGTTTTTAGAAGACACTTTCTTCAAGCAGTGGTACAAGAAAAAGTCTGCATCTTTCAAGACCATGATTTTTATACAGGACAATGCTTCATCACATTTATCAAAGTACTCCACTGCATGGCTAGCCAGGGAAGGCCTTAAAGATGAAATAATGACATGGTCCCCTTCCTCACCTGACCTAAACCTTATTGAAAACTTGTGAGTCCTTAAATGGGAGATTTATGTTGAAGGAAAACAGTACACCACTCTGAACAGTGTGTGGGAGGCTGTGATTGCTGCTGCACATAAAGTTGATCGTCAACAGATCAAGAAACTGACAGGCTCCGTGAATGGAAGGCTTATGACTTATTGAAAAGAAGGGTGGCTATATTGGTCACTGATTTTGTTTTGAAATGTCAGAAGTGTTTATTGTACATTTCATTTATTATTCTCATTTTAGCAGATGCAAATAAAGAAGGGCAGATTTTCGTTTTTTATTTACCGGTAGTTGTGTAATAATTTTGCATACTAATAGTTGCCCAATAATTGTGGGCACATATTCTCCTAAGAAAGCCAAAACCTCGCTTTTACTTTCTTAAATATTCAGGTTTGAGGTTTATTAACATTTTGGATTGACAGCACTGTAGTTGTTCAATAATAAAATTAATCGTGCAAAATACAGCTTGCCTAATAATTCTGCAAACAGTGTAGTGTTACAGTAGTCTAAACAAGAGGTTATATGGGCATGAGTTACTGTGAGCAGAGCCTCCTAGTCCAAGAATGGGTTCAACCAGTGCATCACCCAAAAGCGTGCAAAAGCCTTCCTATCCATGGTTGGCACCTGATCTTTGAATAGGAACCACAAGTCTAGGATCCCAGATTGTGCCCCCGGGTCAGTCTGAGGTGGCACAACCCCATCCAGAACTAAAGCAAAATGGTTCAGTTGAGATCTGCATATGTGGGACTCATTGGGGTAGATTGCAGGGGTGACACCGAAATATAATTTTGTATCTTAAATTATTGTGTTCTATTCCAATTTCATTTTAGACTGTATTTTATTCCAATTTCATTTTAAATTGTATTTTATTCCAATTTCATCTTAAATTGCTTTTATCAAATTTTAGTAATAATTTATTTCGGGAATTTTGCACTTTGAAAATGGCCCAAGGGTTAATCAATAAATAATTAGAATTAACTAAAGATGGAAGAATCTTGTTTCCAGTGGTTCCAAATACTCAGAGCCACTCCGTCTTGCTTTGGTTGAGATGGAGACCATTAAGCCCCAACCAATGCCAACAGCCTCCAGACACTGAGACACTGAGATTTTCAAAGAGCCTGGGGTAGAGATATAAAGGGTATCATCTGCATATTGATATTTCACCAAAGTTCATGGATTATCTCACACAGCATCCTCATGTAAATATTAAAATAGAAGGGAAAAAATAGAACCCTGAGACACGCACAAATTAGGAGATGCAGGCTGCTGGATTTTGTTCCATCAACATTGACTAGAACCTGCTCCGGAGGGAGAACCAGCACCAATTCCTGAAGCCGACCCAGGATACCATGAGGTGAAAAACTCAGAGGTTTATATAATCTGCCTTATTCAGGTTTCTTTGAAGCTGCCATGTGACCACTCTTTCCACCACCATCCTTAAAAAGATTGGACAAAAACTATCCAGGCTACTTCATGGTCTATTGAGAGGGCATACCACCTTTAAGAGCTTGTGGGACCAGTCCTTATCTAAAAGGCGGTGTTTAACTACTGTCTAGACCAGGCTTGTCCAACCTTTCACCTTCCCTGGGCCACATTAGAAGATGAAAATTTGGTTTGGGCCGCACATAAAATAAAATAACAGTAGCGATACCTGATCATCCAAAAAACCCATAGAAAACATTTTTTTCATAAGATATCATAAAAAAATAGTCAACCAGGGAGAAAGG